TTTAAAATACATTACATTTGATTATTGAAATTATAATTATCTTAACTAATTTTTATTATGAATCACCTTCATTAACCGCATGTAATTATTATTATCAATCTATTTTTTAATTTTAAAATAATTTTTAATTGACATAATTAAATAGATTTTCATTTTTTTGTTGTAAAAATAATTTTAAAAATTGTATTACAAAATAATTTTTAAAAATAAAAAATAAAAATAGAAATCACAGGCGTAAATAATTAAAAAATTGTTTTTCTTTCTGTGCACATATTTTCTCTTTGTTCATTAAAATATTTTAATATTCTCTTTTGATAATATTTAAAAGTGAATCATGTTTTGAGATTTTCAAACACGGCCATTTTTTTTAAAAAACATAACTTTGGGTCTAGCATTTTACTTCATTTTGTTATAGATTATTATACTTTTTTTTAATATTTTAAATTCCTACATTTTTATTTTTAATTTTGTAAGTTCTTATATTTTGTTCACTTAGGGATATAAAATATCAAACAAAAAAAATGTATGAATTTAAAATATTAAAAAAAATACAGAGACTTATAATAAAATGCAAACAAATTATATAGGTCCAAGGTTATGTTTTCCTTTTTTTTTTAACTGCATTTGATTAAATTTGTTAAATTTTTATAGTTGTTGGATAAAACTTTTTTAAAAATTTATTAGGTATTCTCTGATCATGAATAACTCATATAGTATTTTTTTTATTTGAATCATTTAACTTGTTTCATGTGTACAACATCCCATTAATTTCACCATCATTTTAAACATATGCTTTTAAATATTTAAACTTTATCAATTATGATATGATATATCAGAAACAAGTAAAAACAAAATTAAAGGGTAAGCATTTTCTTTTTTTGGTGGGGACCAACTATAGGGTAAACATTCAAACAACTACATACAAAGCAGAGCCTAGAAAAAGGTGCAGCTTACATTACAAGTATAACTAGGCCGTGCTAAACGACCTTTGACCGTCGACCCTACGCAACGCTAATCCTAATGGCCACGTTCTAATCTCCCGCCATTTCCGATATCACTCTTTCAATTCTTTTAATTATTTTATTTCACTAACCATTAATCATTAAACAAACAAAGCATCCGTGTTATCCAGGTGGAGGAATACTATTTGAATTTATCATTTCACCAAGAAACTGAACACATTTGAATGACTGCAAGGATTTTTATTTTTGATAAAATTCTCCAGCGGTTGACTTTAATTTCTGGAGGAAGAACCACGTTGAAAGTCAAATTTGTCTTCCTTAATTTAATTATTGCAGGGGGCGGATAAGAAAATTGAGGTTTTTTGGCCTAAGAAAGTGACGCGGGCCAAATTGAAATACTAATGGCTATCTTATCATGTTTGGAAATTCATATCACAACAGGCCAAATTTCTCGTTAGAATCATGTCTTCTTATGTTTTTAATTACAATTCAATCTTTTAAATGTATTCGAAGTTTTTTTTTTTTCAAGTGCAAACATTGTCCGGCCTAATTAATTCAAGTCTCCCAGCATAATTTTTTTCACTAATAAAATTTAAACCGTTCACATTACCTAAATTATGAATGAGTGGTTTTAAACTTTTGTGTTTGATATTTTGATTTAACGGGACCTACACTTTTAAATAAAATCTCTTATATCAATAAATATCGTTAAATACACTTAATAATTTTATTTTTTTAAAATAAAAATATAAATTTTTAAAAATACCTATAATTTAATATATTAAAAAAGATAAAAATTAATTATAAATAAAAAGATAATATTAAAATTGACCCATTTAATAAAATTTTAATTTATTTAAATTATTTTATATTTTAAAATAAATTTTTTTTAAAAAATATTTTATAATTTAAAATGGAACGAGAATTTGATTTTAGTGAAATAAATTTGAATGGTAATATCTCCTGACTCCTTTACTAATGCATTTATTGGCAGGACGTGGAGTGTGAAAAGGGGTTGGGGGTTGGCTTCGAGTCTCCCACGACGCCTTCAAAGTTCAATGTACGGCCCCCCATGGAGGCTTGACCTCATCATCTTTGACCTGGTCAACAATTTTTTTTTTTTTGGGTTTATTTTCTGCCTGTGAAGTGAAGGTGGCTGTATAGGACCGAAAAATCCACCTTATTGATTTTTTTTTTTCCTAAATTTTTATTTCAGATAGTGATGATGAATTTAGTCAAGAAGGCAATTTCTTCTTTGCATCCTCGCGCGGAAGCACTCGCAATAGAAGAAACACAACGGCTGCTTTTGTTATGAATGAAAAGACGGAATACATTTTTTAATATATTTTATAATTATATTTCTATTTGTGAAATTAAAATTAGTGAATGTGATGTAGATTGATTATGCAGTGTAAAGCATAGTAGAAAGAAAAAAAATTTAAATAAATTAAATGTATTATGTCATTTATAGTTTGCTCAATAAAGTCATGACACTTAGATGATATTAAATATAAATTTATTATGATATTAATAATAGTTTAAAGAAAAAAATAAAAAATTAAATGAGTATTTTATTATAAAAATAAAATTAATTTAAAAAATATCACAATATTTTATTCAAATTATTTAAAATATTTTTATTAAATAAATTATAAATGATATGACACGATTGATCTATCAAAATAATTCTCTCAAGAAGGACCCACGTTTTGAAAGCAAGAAGTAGGAGTGAGGGTAATACGAGGTGGGAAGGAGGCAGGGTAGTGGGCTGTAAGGCAGTGCGTAATGGGACAGTGATGCAAGCTGATATGTAATATTTGCTGTATTTTTTATTTCAAATTCATAAATTATTGAAAGATATAAGCAATAAAAGTAATGATACAGGGGCTATTGGTTGGATGGAGGTGGCAAAGCGGTGGCCACGTGGGGCTGAGGGTTGGGTCCCGGGTCGGGTCGGGTCAACGCCCCTTAACGTGGAGTTTTGAAAAGCGGAGTTCCGGGAATGCCCTTCCAGGGGAATTTAGACGCCAAATTTTAAATTCAAAAGGAGACGAAATGGGAGGGAGGTTCAGTTTCAGACTTTCAGTTACGGTGGCCTCGTAATTCGCTCCAACATGCCCCCACCCACCCTCTCCTTCGCTCCAAATTTTCCCTCATTATTATATTCAAACAATTTACCACCAAACAAATTCAGAAATATTAAATAGAATTACCCACACGCTAATATTCATGTAATCATTAATATACAGCAAAAATAGAGTACTAGTAGGTGATAAACTTTATAACAAGTTAGGTTATTCATGGATCTTCCAATTCTGCACAATGTATCGGACCGCATGCTTGCTTATTTTTATATCTACTTATGATCATTTGAAAATATTTGTTTACGAAGAATCATTCTTAAAAAAAAAAAGAAAATTAAAAAGAGGTTAACTCACTATTTCAACTTTAAAAATTAAAATACGAAGACGAGAGCTAAACTCACGTGAAGCGATCGAGGTGAGGACAAGACGTAGTTAAGAATATTATGGAGTTATTATTTGGAATGCTATAATTATAAATCTTCCCAAATTTTGCATTACGTAATTTATGGCATTACAAGTTTGTATTATCGTGTGCATTGGCAGTCAAATATTCTACTCTCTCCCCACATAGTGTGGGGTGACTTGTTAAGGAAACATTTTTATCGTTTTGTCTTTACCTTAATTAAATCAACATTGGAGAATTTGTTTGTACCGATCGAAACCATAAGCATGTAAAATTCAAAGCAAAAGTTTTTAGAGCAATTGCATCGGACTTCGTTACTATCTAAAGCACCAAGGACTTACTCACACGTTAATTTTTAAAATTTTTAAAGAAACTATAATATGAGTTTTTTTAGCTGCATCGCACATGGACATTAATTAATGTTTGCAACAAATATTGGCGCCACAATTCACCAGCACCATTGATTGGCTTTAAACACATGGAATGAATATTGTAATTGTAATGAATTTTTTTATATTGCAAGCATGGAAGATATGATGGTGTTTGAAAAAAAAAATTATTTTCTCCAGTCCTATATATATTCACAAAATGATTAATTATACTTGTAAGCACATTAAATTACCTCGCCATCCGGCCCATTACTTAGCATATGCGTCACTCACACTTATTATTAACTTCCATGGGCTATGGTTGCAACTTTAAAAATGAATTAAAATTATATTAAGCTAACTCAATAGTCTTTCTAAGATTCATTTTTTTCCAGCTTATTTTATAAAAAATTACTAATTATTTTAAAAAAGAAATACATTATGTGAATTTTTATAATATTTGTTTAAATTTTTTTAAAAATAGAATAAAAAAGCAGATTTTGTATGAAAATAATCTGAGTAGATAATAAAGAATGTTTTGAAAACGTGGCATAAATGAAGCATACGATTTTAAAATAATTAAATAATAAATCAATTTTTAAAATAAAAATTAAGCAACATTTCATAAAATTTAAAGATAACTAAGTAATAATTATTTTTTATTGTTTAATTAAATATAAAATGATGTTTGCCTATTATAAAATATCTATAAAATAAATATTTTTTATAACATGTTTGAATTATCTAAAAATGACTTATTTTCTAATCTTAAACAAATCAATCATCTGTTATGTTTCAAATATTTTTTTAAAAGAAGAAGGAGGGTTCAAATATTTCAATGCAGATCAACCCATATCAGTTTCTTGTTCAACTATACTATTTTTTATAGAAATTATAAAAAATAATATAAAGCCCTTTTTTATATTTTCATTTTTTGTTGGGGCAAACCAATCAGCCGTGTGGCGTGTAGATTGCAGGCCGAAGCCGGAGGGTTCGAGAAGATTTGCAGCCACCACTTTCAAAACAACAATTTTGTTATTTTAAAAAAGAAAAACAGTAATAAGTTTTTATTTTCTTGCCCTAAAACACTTAAACGCTGGAAGATTCTCATTCTCTCACTTTCGTTTCGTTTTCGCAGTACCAGACTTTGATAGAGAGAGAAAGAGCTCGCGTTAAGGAAAAGTACCAAGCGGCGATCTTTCTTTTTTAAAATTAATTTCAAAATTTAAATGGTCAATTGTCAATATAAGAAAGGTCTTTCCTTTGCAATTTTTCTCCCTTCTCAACTGTCTCTCCGTGTTCATCTCGCGTGCATAGCAGTCAGACAAAGCGAGAAAGAGAGAATCAGGGGCGCACAGGGAGAGAAAGAGAGAGAAAGAGGGGGAGATAGGGAGGGAGAGAGAGAGGCATTAGGGAAGAAAAATCCTCCTTTTGATAATTGTGCTTTCATTCCACACACACGCACCCAACTTCTTAATTCCAGAGAAGCCTCTTTTCTTCCTTTCATTTTATTTTTTGAACCGGGATTCTCTGATCGCCTGCGTGTTCACGATCTTCATTGCTTTGCTTTTAACTCGCTGGCCAGATCTTCTTCTGTTTCGGAATCTGATTCCAATCACACCTGTGTGATTCTTCTCGTTGTGTTTGTTTGATAAAAGGGTGGGACTCGTATTTGCATAGTTAAAATAGAAAGCAAGGGGTGTTTTCATATTTGGGTTTGGGTTTGGGTTTTGATGAGATTGTGTTGAGGGAAATGGTGCTTGCCTCAAGAGTGTGGTGTTGAAGTAATATGGAAGTTGTCATTACACGCTTACGAAGAGTACAATAACATGTCGCTTTACATTAATCGCGAGGCTTCAAAGGTTGGTTTCAAAGTTTTTGGCCTTTTGCTGCTGCTTGTTATTCATCTTCCCTTGTCCTTTTTTCCCTTTTCAATTAATCTCTGCCTGACTGGTTCGTTCTGATGCATAGCTATGGAAGAGAATTTGCGCAGAGACAACCACAGAGATCAACCTTCTTGCAGAGAATTGGAAATACATTCTCGCTGGTCTCATTTTTCAGGTTTCCCCATTTTGATCATGAATCAGTCCACAAAATAGTTACGAGCACTTATCTGTTTGTGAAAATAATGTTAGAAAAAACTTTCTTCTTTTGCTTTCCCTTGGGCAGAGAAATTTTTGGAAGTATTGGTCATATGGAGTTAACTTTCGCCTCAAAAAAGTTTTCTGCATGTTTGGGAACCGCGTTTATATGTCTGAGTTTAACCCTCAAATGCGATTTTGCTAATGATTCTTATCATCAATTGTTGGAATTCTGAAATTCTGATATTTAACGAGGCAAGCGAAGAAACTAGTCACTGATGTCTGCATCTTTTGTCATATTCTATAGCCTGTAATTCTGGGAGTTTGGCATTCAATGCATGCACAGCATTGAATCAATAATTGCGTCCCAAATCAATTGTTGCATTAATCAAGGATTCTCTATTTATTTACACCTCTAGAGTTGCAAATATACTGAAATCTATGAGGAACTCTCAGGCTATCTGTACCACAGGAAGATTTCATTCTTCTTACTGGAAACCTTTTAAAATCTTGCAGCTCAACTAGAGCGCAGGAATATTTTATCAAAATGTTTTTGTGTTTGAGAAAAGGAAAGAAATAAGAATGGCTGATTTCGTTAAAGCATTTTTCGTTGGGAAGTGTTATATCCTTTACCCTTGTGCATATGATGCTACTGTAGAAAATGAATTTACTCGGAAATTGGGCATGATTTCATCATTAATTTTAATTTTAATTAAAATCTAAGTTGCAACTGTTTCCCAACAGTACTTGCATGGTCTAGCTGCCCGAGGAGTTCACTATTTACATAAGCCTGGCCCTACTCTTCAGGATGTTGGATTCTTCCTTCTACCGGTTTGTATATGCCATTTCCCCTCCATGTAGTAGCTTCGTCAGCTCACCCTTCTATCACGTAAGCTTTTTAATTTCATTGTTGCTGGTACAGGAGCTTGGGCAAGACAAGGCTTACATCAGCGAAACATTGTTCACCTTCATCTTTTTATCCTTCGTCCTGGTGAGGATTTGTTCCTTCCTAATTTTTTCTGCATTCTGTTAACATTTATTTTTATTTTAGGAAAACTTATCAATTATCCATATTGGGAAACTGGCTTCTGCCATGGGCTCTATTTTGCCTTGATATGGCATTTTATTCAATAAGAGAACATGAATTACATAATATATATTCAAGTCTGAATTTCTGTCTTAGTTTTGGGCTCAAAAAATGTGAGTTAAACTTGGCTTCAGTATTCATGTCTACGCATGATTGTCTGGTGAGACTGGCATGCTTTGTTTAATTGAAGCTCCATGTAACTTAAGTTTTATTTCTGTGATTTAGAAAGTCACTCTCTCAAATCTTTTTGTTGAAAATCTGCATAGTGCTTTTATGTTAGTTATGAGTTGTGAGTTAGAGTTGAGGATGAAATTTTTAAATAAATAATGATAATAACAAACTCACAATTGATATCTAGTTTTGATATTTCAAGTATCCTTCTATATTAGAGTGGTTGCTTATCTAGCTGAAGGCCTTTTGCTTGCTTTCTTCTTCCTCCTGACTCTTTTCTTGGTTTGTTAAGTTCTGCCGCGCTTCTAGTATTATTATTTCTGCTACATTTTGATGGTATGTGCTATTTTACATGCTTTTGCAGTGGACATTACATCCTTTCATTTTGAAGAGCAAAAAGATCTATACAGTTCTAATATGGTGCAGAGTTCTAGCATTCTTAGTTGTAAGTGATGAACATATCATTGTCTTGTGACCTGCTTTACTGGGTCGTTTTGATTGTTTATTCCCCCCCCCCCAAAAAAAAAACCTTTTTTTGATGCATAACAGAACAAAAATTTGACGCTTTTAACAAGTGAAACGCAGTAAAAGAATTCTATTGGATGCTTTATACTGAAACTGAAGTGGATAAACCATCTCTTGGGTGCAACTGAGGTCTATTTTGTACTCATTCTTCTTCTTTTTTTTTTTAATAAGCTGTACTCATTCTATCTTAATGTCATCTGTAGAATTTAACTAAAAACTGGCACTGTTTTATCAAAATTAAGCAATAAATAAGTATGTTCATGCTTTTTATCTAGGAAACGGCACTCTGGGCATAGTTCCATTATCCTTGCAAATTTCATAACGGCAATTGGTTACTGCAGGCTTCTCAATTTCTTCGTATTATCACATTTTATTCAACACAGCTTCCAGGTCCAAATTACCATTGCCGAGAGGTAAAATTGTTTAAAAAATGTTCTTTTTAAAATTTCTTGTCATACACGGTATTCAAAAAATAATCTTACAGCTTGGCGCTATAACTGTCTTGCAGGGTTCAAGACTTGCCACACTGCCTGCTCCAAAAAGTGTCTCTGAAGTTCTCTTGATTAATTGTAAGTATGCATTACCCCCTTTTACTGTAGTCATTTAACTATAATTTTTTTTATTGTTTTTGTGCTAATTTGATTTTGTATGTGCAGTCCCCCGTGGTGTGATATATGGATGTGGCGATTTGATATTCTCCTCGCACATGATCTTTACTCTCGTCTTTGTGCTGACCTATCAGAGATATGGCACAAGAAGGTAAAGTTGGCCTATAGTAAATACTTTTACACGGATGTGAGTGTCTTTGTCCCAAAAAAAAAAAAAACCAGCTTTTACTTGAGTATCCAGGCTGGATGGCCTTTATTTTTACTTTTTATGGAGTGTCAATCTGGTTGTCTAACTTTATGTTATTTGCAAATTCTGATTTTTTGTGTTGTGATTATTGATGAACCGCTGCAGGTGTATTAAGCAGTTAGGGTTTGTTCTTGCTGTGATTCAGAGTCTCTTGATAGTAGCATCTCGCAAACATTACACTGTTGATGTGGTTGTTGCCTGGTAAGGAGTATGCTCTGATTTTCAACTTGGGAGTTTGACCAATTTCAATTTGCCACTTCCCTTTTGAGTTATTTCTATAATCTGCGGCAGGTACACTGTTAATTTGGTGGTATTCTTTGTCGAGAAGAAATTGCCAGGTTAGTACATTGGGGCATGATGTGTTGTTGAGAGGTACATTAATCAATACGTTGGTCCCGAAAAATATGCAAACTTTTTCCATTCCTTCTAATTCCGTCCTTTTGTCAAGCTCAAATCACTGAGTCTAGTTAGTGAGAGATCAAATCGAGGAAGCTTGTGTCCAGATGCTAAAGCAATAGAGTAACATACAGAAGTTTCTCATGTTCACCTACTTGACCAGCAATATGCTGTTGAATGACATTTCTAAAGTTCCTTAGACGCTCGCTTTCAGATTCTTCAATAAAGGAGTGACTTATTCAAAACACCCAATTTTGTTGAACTTTGAAAAAATTATCAATTACCGTGTTCTTATTAGACCTGAAAAGCAAAGACTTAAAATCTATACCTAAGTTTTCTCCTAGAGTAAGCATATTTGGTTATGTTATTTTAGTTTGAGTAGCAATATGCTGTTGTGCTGACTTTTGTTGTCTTGCAGAATTACCGGACCGGTCCAACATAGCAGCAACCTTGTTGCTACCATTGAGCAATAAAGACAAAGATGGCCGGACCAAGGAAGAGAACCACAAGCTATTGAATGGGAATTCTGGGGATCCTGCAGACAGGGTATGGTGGAGAATCCGCTTGCCCTTTCCCTATATCCATTTTCATTGTAGTGTCTTTTTCTATGATCTGGACATAACACGGTCATTACTATTGTTACCCCAGAGGCAGAGAACTCAAGTGAATGGCAAGATTCTTGAGGATGTTAATACACACCTTGCTGACTCTGGGATGAATGGTGGGTAATAGGACATAGGGGGCCTTCTGCTTTCAGAAATGGGATCTACCGCAACTGCAAGACTTTGCTGTAGGGAAAGCAACAACCTTGTTCAATTGGAGGATTAGTGAATTGTCAAATGTCCTATTTTAATTCAAATTAATAGGGCTAATTTGTGTTAGTGTAATTTTACTTGGGTTGTGCTTTTTACCCATTGTGTTCCCTGGTTAAATTATATATAGCATGAGCATGTGCCATAGGAATTTTCCCCTCAAATCCTGTCTCCTCCGTCATCTTTTCGTGATTTCATGTGCATAGTCTGCTCTTCATTTTCTATTTTTGGTTCCTTTTGCCCTTTGCAGTCACATGGGGAACTAATGATGGGGACAATGCAATAGTGCTTCTAATGTAAAGAGTAATTTCTTTTCCTATTCTGGCTGTGCCCAAACTGATCTTCTGAAGTCTGAACATCGCTAGGTAGGAATCTGAATCCTTCGTATCTAAGAATTAATATTTGGAGAGAGAAAAGAAAAAAAATGAGTGGGAAGAGGACTAGATTTTATGTAGTACTCATTTTCTTTCATTTACAAATGTATGATACACAACAGATCTCAATCCTCTCGGTAAGTTGATGAGGCGGAAGAAAAATGATATATCTTAATCGTTAAACCTAACATTATGCTAATTTTAAGGGCGAAGGATCCTCCTATGTTATAGAGACTTGAACAAAATTTCGCCTCACTTTCCGAAGCCAGTTGTCGGCGAGTTTTATCCTTTTACCAATAACATTATATGGTACTTGTAAAAACAAGGGATTCAAATTGCACATTTGTACATGGTTCGTTGAGCGTATCATGTGCTAGCTAAGAACTCTGGAGTGATAAACAATCTTGGGAGCAATGACCGGGGGATAAAATAAAACAAAGAAAGGAAAAGGTGAAAGCAAAACATGCAGAGGACAATGTAATGTTTTGGGAAAAGAAGGGGTGAAGAGAAGGAGTGGGAATGATGAAGGTGAAAATGACAAGTGAGAAAAAGGACGCATGGGCTTTAGAGGGCAGAATTAGAATAGTGCTTTTTGATGTTATGAGTTTGAACGGGGAAATCACATCCACATGCATGTCTCTGCCGTGCCGCTCTGGGGAAGTCACATGGGGTCACCATGCAAGAAAAAGAAAGATGGTTTGATTTCATTTCATAGACCCACTGACACGCAGACTTCATTCCTATGATATGCTTTGTTCCCTTTCTCCTTTTGTTTCCTTTGTTTCCCATCCCCCCATTATGATTCATCATTTCCTTCCTCTCTATTCTCTACTCTCTACTCTCTACTCTCTCTACGCTAGCTCTTTGTCTCCATCTACACCATTTCCTTGTGTACTACTTTTTATTTAAAATCTCAGGCACTCGCCACATGGATCAAACTTGTGAAATTTCCTTTACAAGGTAACTTACATGTTACCAGGTTATAAAGCCATTGGCTTATTGTACTTTTAAGTTTTGATATAAGAACATAAAACAATCTACTCTATTAATCAAATTCATAAAAAAGTTTTTATTTTTGTTTGAACCATGATCGAGCAATAAATAGAAGCATATATCCAACTGAAGATTTGCGTCTTAATCCACCATTTTGTCAGGAACTAGATTTTCTTGTTAAACCTAAGTATGTTGGTAAAAAAGTTCACATTTTATTATCGTTATCATTAATAAGATGTTCATGGTCTTATGCTCACCTGAAAATTATGTTCGTGCATTCATCAAATTTCTCTGAGATCATCATCATCATCATTATTGGAAAAACGCAGCTACACTTTTTTTTTTGGGGTGAAATGGGGCAGTAGGTTTTAGAGCCACCACTCCAAGTCCTTAGACATAAAGAAATATCCTTAGGTCGGCCCATTCCCAGTAATACTAATTACTAAGGCTGAACCCATGGAAATTGAATTTAACATTTATCGACGCTTCTATTTGATTTGTTTACAACTATTCTGAACTTAAGTATTATTGGGTCCTAACTTAGATCAACACTCTCATCATGGTTTTTTTGTTTTGTTTACAGTAGAGTGAGTGAGAAAAAAGAGAATGAAGAAGTTGAAATTGATTATGAGGAATTTGAATTCAAAATTAAGGGAAAAGGATTGGGTAAGATAAAGGTAATTGAATAGAAAGGAGGGGTTGGTGATGGAGGTGGGGTTGGGTGTTAGAGAGGAGAGAGAGCAACGAGGGCCAAACTTTGAACGAAAAGGAAGAGAGATTAGCGGAAATTAAGCTGGATGGGATGAAAAGGGCAGAATCCAATAATGATGAGGAGGCAGGGTGACATGGGTATGCCTATCATACCAAATAATGACCATTTCCTGTGTGTCTTCCTTTACGTGCTGCAACACTCACCTTCTTTTGATCACCTCAATTTACCACCACCCTCCCACTAACCCTACTCCTTTTCCTTTCCATTCACTGTTGTGCACAAAATTAAATATCGCGTCAATCCACCTAGTCAGTTGAATGTCGTTTAAATTTTCGTTAGGTATAATAGATTATGAAAATAATTATTAAGTGGTAAATTTTAATCATAATTGATTATGTTATAACGCAATCAGTTTGGATACTATTTTTTTAAAATTAATTTTAACAGAATTAAAGATATTTAATAATTTAATCAGAATTAATTTTATTTATATAAATTATTATATAATTTAATTCTTAAATATCAAACATCAATTTTTTAAAGATATAAAATTTAAATTTTATTAAGAAAAAAAGTTAAAAGAAAAGAGTTTGGTTTTATTTTTATTTAATGTTGTGCCTTTTTTATAATTTTTTTTGAGCCTTTCTTTGTAATTTTTCCAACACTTTTAATCAACTTTTGGCAGAAAACCAAAGCAGCTTTTGGAAAAATGCGCATTTTATCCCATAATTATTTTTAATTTTTTTTGACTGTTTGGGTAAATTGGTTCAAAAAATCGATTCTAAGATAAAAAATGATTATATTACGTATCCAAACACACTAAAAAATGTTAAATTAATGTCTTAACTAATCCAACAAAATATTTTATTTATAATTAATTTAACCATGATTTGATTATAGTTTAAATATCAACACTTAAATATATATTTTGACCAGTCCAATAATTAGCTTGATTTTCAGTATCTTATTAGAGAAATTCTTACACAGCTCTATGTACTAATACACCAAGTCATTCATATTCTATCTAATAAACATAGGCTTTGTTGCATAATTCAATTAAATAAAATATCATGTGACATTACTTTTAATTGTCTTAATTTTTTGAAATATAGTATCCCTTTAAATTCTTGCTCTCTCTCTCTCTCTCTCTCTCTCTCTCTCTCAAAATTATATTAAAAAAAGAACATCAAAGTACATAAAATTAATTTATATTTACAATCATATGATATGTTATATTTTTATTGGATAAAACATGAATAACATGGTGCACTAGATTTATGAAAGAATTTATTGACTTTACCAATGTTCTCTTCCTTCCCTCCTCACTGTAATTAAGAGGTCTTGCGATTAATCTCTAATCATTGATTATTTGTTAGTACACTTCCAACCCTGAAAATTAGACATGCAAATTAGTTCATTTCTTCTTCACATTCCCCTTAATTTGTGCCCACTTAAGTTATTTAACTTTTTCTGATTTGATTAAAAGAAAATTATCTGACTAAAGAAGAGCTATACAATCTAGTTAATTAATTTCCAAGCATTAACAATGCTAAAGCATAATCATCAAGAAGACGTGCTTTACAATTAAAAGAAGGCAAATGAAATACTATATACACTACCAAGACAACACTAATTAATTAATAGCTACCTCTTCGTTGTATTCTTGCCTTTTTGGAAGCCGTGACACATGCCATGACATGATGCTTGAGAATAGCCCGTCTAAAGCCAAACACCTTTTCCTTTGATTGAGGTTTCAGGGATTCAGGCCACCAAAGGTTAAAAAAAAAAAAAAAGAAAGAATAACAGAGCAGACAAGGTGTCATGAGCTTCAGGTCTCCAGGATTTGCCAAACCAAAAGGAAAATTAAGATATGGTCTTGACGCAATGCAAATGATAGAGGATAACGCCCATGACAAAGAATGAGTGGATGCCGTATATAAAAATTTTAAAGCGCTCCTAAACCTAAGCAACTTGGAGTTTTTTTATACTATCACATTGACTAAGGCAATGAATGTGTTCAGAGGGGTATTGTATTATACTTCATTTAAGAGATTTCGTTTGGAAGGACATGAGATTGTTTGAATATTTGCTTTGAAAAGCAATTACTTCCCTTGTTAGTTATTGACTCAACCTTGCCTATTTCTCATATGGCATCTCTTCCTCACACAAACAAAACATGTGACTCTCTAATGATATTTTTATCTACATTATTACATTATAGTTTTCTTCATCTGAGTATTACTACGTAATACATGATAGTTGGATCAACTTTTTGTTCAGCTTGTATTTTATTTCTGATAATCAGCATAATGTGAATATGAAATTAAAATAATAGTTTGAAGTTTTTTTAATCATAATATACAGTCATCTTTAGATTTAGGTAATCCAACTGTAAAAAAGCTTAAACAGTGGGTTGAAAAAAAAAAAGATTTGTAATATTGTTTTGGTAAATGTGAGAGAAATGATGAGAATGGAGTAAAGCAAGACAGGTTGAACAAAGAGAGTAAAGGCCCTTTACAAATTGAAGCTCAAGGCAAATGCCCGTTCGAATACGGAAAAGAAAAAGAAGAAAGATACAGTAAAGCGAAGGAGGTTTCACTTAGCAATAACAGCTTGTGTGGAGATCAAATGAAGAGCCAAAGCAAATTGAACTAGAAAAGTCTCTACCTTGAACTGAATTGCCAACTCCTGCCATTTATGCTCAAACAAACAGACCCACTGGAGTCAGAACAATGTATAGCTCCGTCTGATCAGTGATCAGTTTCTACGCTAACTTTTTTCGGTTTCAGCTACTTCACTAAATGGGTGCTCGTTGCTCTAAGTTCTCCCTCTGCTGGTTCCATTCCCACCTCAAACCTTCCGTCCTTGAATCCTCCGACCTGGGTATTTGCCTTACCACCCCACCCATCACACACAGTGTTTTGGCATTTCCGTCTCTGCTTAAAAATGGCGTCTGTTTTAATTTTGTTGCAGAAAATGGAGGGAAAAATGAGGGAGAAAGGTGGCCCAGTTTTGAGGAGTTCAACTTGGAACAATTGAAGGTTGCCACAAATGGTTTCTCCTCCGAAAACATAGTGTCGGAGCACGGTGAAAAAGCTCCCAATGTCGTTTACAAAGGGAAGCTCGAGGATGGTCATATGATCGCCATTAAACGCTTCAACAAATTTGCTTGGCCTGATTCACGCCAATTCCTCGTCTGTTAACTTGCTTCACTTCATTATGTATTTTCTCGGGGATAATCCTATTTTGATCGGACAGTTTAATTCATGATTTGGTTCAGTGAATCATGAATATATTCACAGTAACCAACCGCTAAAATATTAGCTTCCCTTCAAATGCTGATCCACAATTTAACGCTGGAGTTAAATATTTTCTTTGATATCAAATATGGGATGGGAATTTATAATGTCAGGGAATCAAATCATGTCTATGTTAGCAGATCTAAGTGTTAGTTTTCTGTTAATTCCTTTTGGTAAGGATATGCTACGCTTTGAAGAAGAAACAACAAATATATCGATAGACTTTTAATGATCAAATAACCAAATTGAAAGAAAAAAAAATTGATAGTGAGTCAGGGACCAAGATAGGATGTCATTGTATGCCCTTTCATGTGTCTGTCTTTTTAATATGATGACATGTGATTCTAGGAGGAAGCTAAGCAAGTGGGGAGTCTGAGAAGTGAGAGATTAGCCAACTTGATTGGCTATTGCTATGAAGGAGACGAAAGGCTGCTGGTAGCAGAGTTCATGCCACATGAAACTCTGGCAAAGCATCTCTTTCACTGTGAGCTATTCTGAATCATTATAGGCTTATAATTTTCACCTTAAATCTTTCTTGGATTTTTGAATCTTTTATTTAGCCCCTTGGCATTTGATTCTTGAACAGAGAGAATAATGATGATTGATTTGATTCAGGGGAGGCACAACCCATGAAATGGGCAATGAGGTTGAGGGTGGCCTTGTACTTGGCTCAAGCTCTAGAGTACTGCAGCAGTAAAGGAAGGGCTTTATATCATGATCTCAATGCCTACAGGATCTTGTTTGATCAGGTAGAAAGGTTTTGTAAAAAGAATGCTTCCATTTTTATTTTTGGCTTATGTAGACTTGTAGAACCCATAGTTGAAAGTAAATCAGTATTGCTATTATTTGAAAATAAATTGAACACAGCTTAAATTCTGTTTTTAACAGCATGACTAAATGTAGCTATACTGCTATGCAATTGTTATTTTAAATTGTTTTGATCTAATAATCAGAGAGACAATATTTCTAAGTCAACATTGGAAGGGCTTAAATTGTTCTCACAGATAAAGGGACAAGATTATTCTAACTGGAACTGAAAGGACTAAATTGTTTTCTTGCAACTGCTTATGTTGAATCAACAGGATGGTAATCCGAGGTTGTCTTGCTTTGGGCTCATGAAGAACAGCAGAGATGGCAAGAGTTACAGTACAAACTTGGCATTTACACCACCTGAGTACTTGAGAACAGGTAACGTTCTTAGCATGCATGTGTGTTTTCTACTTTTCCTTGATATGTTCAGTACACTACGGATTGATATATAGCTGCATGATTTTGGAATTCTTGGATGGCTGGGAATCTTTGGGTGAATCAGACATGCAAGTAGACTGGTTTGAACGAACAACATAGACCTGTTAATATTATTACAATGCCCCCGTCTGTTTGAATGGATGTTTATTTTATTTTATTACAGCATAAGGGAGAAATTACATCATCTTCTGCAAATAATTAATGAAAGTTCTGAAATTTGAGAAATATTATAGTTTAGTGAAGCATGTTGAAATTTATGTTGAAATTCACATTGCAGGAGACGGCTTGCCTTATTGGTTTCCCTACCTGTAAAGATAATCCTTCTTATAACAGCTTTCTAACTTTGTGTCATGCCTGGAACAAAAACATGTGTCAGCACTGAACAATTTGTTGTTTGTAAAGTTGCCTCCAAATTGCAGTGGGAACTATTTTAGCTTGAAATAGATGCATATGCATTTTCAGTCTGCGGATTTTTTGCTCACCTATAAAATAGATTTGGTATTTCACTATTATTCTTTTATTCTTTTTCAATATGCAGGCAGAGTGACACCAGAGAGTGTAGTTTACAGTTTTGGAACTTTGTTGCTTGATCTTCTGAGCGGCAAACATATTCCCCCGAGCCATGTAAGTTCCCTCTCCAGAGTTTTGTTTATTTATTTATTTGCTGAAAAACACTAGAAAAAAAGAGGCAGTGGCTATATGTTATTTTGAAGTTATCTGATATTTAACTCCACAAATTTTCTTGGTCGAAATACCTACTGCAAGCTGCTGCTTTCAATAATAGCAGTCAGGAATCGATTCATTTTACATTATTTAAGCTGGCTTTATATAATTCTCATCTAGCCAATGAAGTTCAGAGATTTGATGTTGTCGCCATTTATTTTTCTTAATTTACAGGCACTTGATCTGATCCGCGGCAAAAACTTTTTGATGTTAATGGATTCTGCCTTAGAAGGTCACTTTTCAAAGGAGGATGGAACTGAGTTGGTGCGGTTCGCTTCTCGTTGTTTACAGTATGAAGCTCGTGAGAGACCAAATGCAAAGTCTCTTGTTGCATCTCTAATGTCACTTCAGAAAGAAACTGAGGTACAACGCCATGCTTGATAACCTTTGATTTGGTAAAACTATGCCTGATAATCTGTTTTGCTCGCTATATATTAAGAGGCGCCTGATAATCTGTTTTTCTTGCTATATATTAAGAGGCCTGTTATATTATTGAATCTACTGCCACAATATTTTTAAACCTCTTTCTGAGACCCATAAAAAATGTGATCGACATGTTACACATGTCTATTCATGATTGACTCGGTTAACTTATCTTTGGCAGATGTAATCTACTTATAAATTTTTGAACTTGTTATAGATCATCAAATCCATCTTGAGAAGACTATAATTTCTCATTTGGATAGTATTTGAGCAGGTCCCCTCCTATATTTTGATGGGTATTCGGCATGAAGCTGCATCCTCAAAAAAGCCATCACTGACACCTATGGGTGAAGCATGTTTGAGACTGGATCTTACTGCCATACATGAGATATTGGAGAAGATTGGATACAAGGATGATGAGGGATTCGCCAATGAGGTTTATGCTGCCACCATAATTTACAAGAGAGAGAGGAATTCCCTTTCTTAGATATAACATTGCACATACAGGAGGGGGAGGAGGGGAGAAATGTTTTTCTTTTATAATATTATTCTGTTAACACTGCAATGCTGATCCTCTGCTTAATGTGGGGAGTTGCAGCTTTCATTTCAATTATGGACCAGTCAAATGCAGGAGACCCTGAACTGGAAGAAGCATGGAGATACTGCTTTCCGGGCCAAGGACTTTGTCACTGCCATTGACCGCTACACGCAAGTAAGTGTTCTTTGACTGAGTGTTGCGACTTGGCTTGGTTGTGTTAAATAGTATGGTAAAAAATATTCTTGGGCTTCGCTTAACAGTCTAAGTTATGGTTATTCAAGATTAGAACAAAACTATGAATAAATTTCATTCAATCCTGTGAGGTTCTTGAAAACCTTTACTTACACCTCCGGTTTCAGTTAGCACTAGAACTTCGCATTAACTTTATGAACTTACTCGCCTCATTGTAAGAAAGGCACACTAAACTACCTTCTTTTTGGTTTTTCATAAGCATTAACTTGCTCTTGCGATAATATCGCCTACGTGGTATCAAGCTATTATGAATTTCTTGGAGGAAAGCATATAGGGTATAAGATTTGCTAACAAAATCGTTAATAGAAGGAGGGTTTCCCTATAAACTCAAACTACTCTTAAGCATTTACATAAAAAATTTGAGCTGCAATAGTCATTGATAAGATGTCATGCTTAGTTTAATGTGGGGATCATAGCTACACATCAGATGAAAATATATGCAGATTAAAATTGTATAATTAAGAAAACATACAAGCCTGTCAGGCAGATTTTTTTATTTGGGCTCACTTGGTGACTCTTTCAGTTCATAGATGGAGGGACCATGGTCTCGCCTACTGTGTATGCAAGACGCTGCTTGTCTTATTTGATGAAGGGGTTGGCACAAGAAGCTCTTGGGGATGCAATGCAAGCCCAGGTGGTATCACCCGAGTGGCCTACTTCTTTGTATCTTCAAGCAGCTTGTCTTTTCAGCCTTGGAATGGAGAATGATGCCCAAGAAACTCTCAGAGATGGGACAAACATGGAAGCCAGAAAGAACAAAAATCTGAAAACTGTATAGATTTTACATTCTGTTTATCTTTGGCATTATTTGATGTTTCTTTGGGCCAGTTTTGTTAGGCTTTTGAATTCATTTTCCTCTGTTATGAAAGATTATGGCTGGTTTGGATTTTTTTTTTTTTAATTATGCCTGCAGCCTCCTATCTGTCTGCAGTTTTCTTCTTTTCCCAACTTCTAATGAATACAGGCACTTAATTTTCTGCTGTAGAAATGAATAATATATGTAAGTAGTTGAAATTTCAAGCTTGAAGAAAACTTGAACAAGACTTAATTAGGTATTTGGGGTTTGGGTTAGGTATTTGATTTTCACTTGAAGCAGAGAATGTAGCGGAGAAATAAAGAGAAAAGAATGAATGAATGTAATTGTAAAATCTTAACCCGGCAAATTTATCCAAATGTTACAGCAAAAAATAATAGTTATTCAAATAATATATTTTTCAAACATTTACCCAAATATTACAATTCAAAAATTATCTTTCAAGCCAAGTTTTTAAAAATTTTTGATATACAACTTAGTTTGCATCGACCCAAGTTTCATGTCAAATGATTTTTTTTTTAAATAAAAAATTGAGTTAGCTTGTCACCTTATGCTTCTATGCTTCCATCCTCTCTTGGCCCAGTAAAAAATAATCCCTCCGCCGCCCTTTCTCATTTTCTCCCAACCCTGTTCCTTGATAATATATCATATATATGCATATATGATAAACCTAGTGACTAATTTATAAGTATATATTTTTTAAAATAACAATATATAATGTATATATCATATAATCTTGTATTATTATTAAATAAATAATAATGATGAAAAATAATCTTATTTAATATTTTATTTTAACAATTTTTATATAATCATGGTTTAAATATTTTATATTTCTTATTATTTTTAATAATTTCATATATAATTTATTTTTTTCAGTCAAGTCAAATGGATAAATATAATCATTAAAATGAAAGAAAAAGAAAAATTAAATGACTATTGTAGCTATTGAAAAATAAGATAGATTAAAGGCATCTAACAACCACTCAAAGCTATACCAAGCAATAGTCTTGTCATTGAATGAAAAAAGTAGAATAGCTATATCTTGGGTCAAGTGTTCAATAAAGTACAACCAATACCACCACTTGACTTAACGGTATTTAAAATCGATCTAAACCGAAAGAAATCGATCAAAACCAAACAATAATCAAGTCTGTTTTAATTTTTATGATATGAGAACTGATTGTTTTGGTTTAAGTTCAATTTTAAGTACTAGAAACTGAACCAAACCGAACCAAACTTGATTAAAAAATACTATTTATTTATTTATAAAATATATGACCATTTATCTACAAGAAACAATTTGTTTTGAATTTTTTATAGTAATAGATAAATATTTTTAAAGGACTTGAATGGAAATGTATAATATTAAATAATTATAATAATCATGCTATGACCATCATTTAATTATTTACAACTTGAAAGCCTCAGTATTTAATTTATCTATAAGAAGCATTGTGTTTTGAATTTTATATAATAAGTTTTTCATTATTTATTAAAATATTTATTAAAATATAGATACATAGATAAACATTTTCAAAGGACTTGAATGGAAATGCATAATCTTAAATAATTTTAATGTTAAAAACTCATATCAATTTTTATGATTGATTATCATTATCACATTAAAATTTTATTATATTTTTATACCTTTACTTATGAAAGAAAGGAGCTAAAAAGAATTAGACTTAATTTTAATATATAGCACTATTATGAAGATGGAAAAAAAGAAAAAAAAATTAAATAAGTGCATTGAAGTCTGATCCAAACCTTAATCAAACTGAAAATTAAATCAAACTAAACCGAACTCCATAAAAATCGATCAAGTCCTAGTTATGAGTAAACTGAATGGTTTGGTTCGGTTTGGTTTTGCCAAAATCAAACCAAATCGAACCTATGAACACCCTTAACTTGACTCATATTCAAACCAAATAATATAAATGTGCCCAAGATCCAACAATTCCAATTTTGCCCCTTCTAGAAGTGTTGAATCCAATAAAGCAGGCTATAAAAGTATATAATTAGAAAGCTTTTCGATTTCATAAAAGGAGAATTTTCTTGTACAAATAATTCTTCAACTTTTAAAATTAGTGTAATTTGGCCCATCTCATTAACAAAAGATAATTTAATTGTTAGTTAACTAAAAAATGATATAAAAAAATTAGATAAAATGACCAAAAACTATAATAAAAGACCCAAAAATTACGTTCAATGACTTAAAATTATAGAAAAGGATTAACAATTTTTTGTTGTCCTTTTTGGTAATTTTTGAGATCCTTTTTTTATCATTTTTTAGTTTATTAATGGTGAAAGTTAACTTTTTTTAATAACATAGGCCATATTGTATTGTTTTCAAAAAATTCAAGAAACAACTTACTCTATAAACGAATTCAAAGTCTATAATGTCACTAAACTTAAAATTTAAGAGATAATTTATTCATTTACACTATTTGTAAATATATGAGTAATATATGCACACACACATGATGGAAGAGGATTGGGTAGATAAAAAACAGGAAAAAAATGTAGGAGTTTAGAGGAAGGGGAGGTGGACTAACAGGTGTCAGCGGTGCCTACCATTTTGTTTTAACATGACTTAAGACTGGCGAAAAATCCCCGCAAACACAAATGCGATGATAAATGTGATGAAAAATATGATGAATATGCAAAATTCCAGGAGGTGACGATCTTGCCAAAATCTTGGGGGAGGTTGTGGTTGAATTGTGGCTACTGTGATAGGGTTGTAGCTGTCCCATAAATTCTGGGTTATCTCCTCACTTGTTCCAAAAACATTCTGTGCTGCAGAATGACAGATTTCGCAGGTCCTACAAGAATTTAATCATACCTGAATAACTAAAATTACTTGTTAAAGATTTACATAGAATCATAGCCTTAAAAAACTTGCTGTCTTCATTATTTTACAGTTTACATGAATTTTGCTTTATGCAGGACGACAACTAGCCACCAAACCCCATCCGAAGCAATGGGAAAATTCAAATAGCTGCACTTCATGAGATTATCTGGCAGGAGGAAGATAGAGAGGAAGCAATCCTGTATGCTACAAGCCTATAGAATAAGATACTCCAAAAAAAAAAAAAAACAAATAATGGAAAGAAAGTGAAAAGAGTGTTTCATGTACCTCTTTATGAGCCACAGCAAGATCATCCTTGCAAGAACAACCCAATTCAATTGGAGCCCCATTTACATGGCTATCACTCTCCAAACCCATGTGACAAATCCGACACTCTCTATCTCTAGCATCAGAGAGATTAATGCTAGTCTCAGCACTCATGTCTTTGAGGTGGCTTCACTTCGTCAAATCTGCCCGGGACATCTGAATGATTGATGACATTTTCAAAGACTAGGAAGGAGAAGGAGGGGGGGGGGGGATCTTTCTTCAGATCTTGAGACTTAGCATGAACTTCCTCAAAGTTTGTAAATTTGGGGTTTGTAGATTTAGCTGCAGACGCCCTTTATGCAAGAAGAAAAGGGCATACATAAAAGCAAAGAATTTTTTTTCCATGGCCTTGTGTTAAAAAACAAGGGCATATATGAAAGGAAAAATGACAAGTAAGAATCTTTTAAGAACATTAATGTCAAATTAAGAATTTTAGTATTAAAACATGATAGAAAGAGTATTAAAATTTGGAAGCGTCAGTGTTAAAAGTTCCTAATTGGACATTAATGTTAGGGAGAATGACAAGTAAGGACTTTATAAGAATATTAATTTCAAATTAGAAACTTTGGTGCTGAAACATAGTGGAAGAAATTCTGAAATTTGAGAACATCATGGTTGAGAAACCATTAAGTTGATACTTTGTTTCCATTAATTCTTTTTCTAAGAACCATTAAGTTGCAAAACAGGTTGAGAAAAGTTCTACACCTTTCAAGACTCCAGGCTCAACGATGTAGAGATGAAGAAGAAGAAGAAGAAGAAGAGGGGGCTAGTGACTATATTGCCAAAAATTCAGAGTCAGTGCTCAAATTATTCTTAAGCTCGTACATAACTATCTGAGTAAGTTGATAGGATGTCGAGCACAACGTGAAGGTGATTAAAGGATTGTAACTACATATCAGATAAAAAGATAAGCAGATTAACTAAAACCAAGTCATGAAGAACCATATAGCCAAGCAAATTAGACACATTTTTTGTCAGGACTTACTTGGTGTGACTGTTTCCGTTCATAGATGGAGGGACCGTGGTCTCACCTACTATGTGCACAGGACGCTTCTTGTCTTATTTGATGAATGAGATGGCACAAGAAGATCTTGGAAAAGCAATGCAAGCCCAAGTGTGGTATCACCTGAATGTCCTACTTCTTTGTATCTGTAAGCAGCTTGTCTTTTCAGCCTTGACATGGAGAATGGGACAAACATTGATGCACAGGAAACTCAGCCAGAAAGAACAAAAATTTGGAAACTCTATAGATTGTACCTTCTGTCATACTTAGCATTATTTGAAGTTTATTTGGGCTAGTTTTTTCAGGCTTTACCCATTTTCCCCTGTTACGAAAACTAATAGCTGGCTTGGAATTTTTTGATATGCCTGCAGCCGCCTTTTCTGTCTGCTGATTCCCACTTTCCCCAACTTCTGGTGAATACTGACACTTGGTTTTCTGCAGTAAAAACAAAGAACTTGAGATTTCAAACTTGAAGAATTCAGATATGACTAGGATAACCTTGATGTGTGAGGAAGGTATTGCATAAGAAGTTGCTCGCAGGTAAAGCTGAGATGTAGCCTCTTGAAGTGAAGGGAAATTAAAAGGTTTCCTTTGACTATTACCTAAAAGAAAAGGTTGAGATTTTAGGCATTAACACGGATAACAAAGAGGAAAACAGACATCCCAAATATAATAGTTTATGATGCCCTTGCATGTTTCGGTCTTTGTAGTCCACAGTTTTGACCCAATGACCACAGTTTTGAACTTGTCATGAACAAAATGAATCAAAATCATCCACAGTAACTTCGCTATGCCTCTCAGACCCATTCGATGTTGACATTCTTTTAATCATTTGCCAATGGATATCATCAAAGAGATCAAAGACTATCATTCATGATTGGGTTATTACTTCTAATCATCTTTTTAGAAGAGCTAGTAGATGTGCTCACTGTTTTGTCAATGAAGCTCATCACTTTGATACCGATTATAAGATTTTACTACTCTTCACTTAGAGCGTGCAAAGATATTTTGCTTGCTGGTATAGTTTGACATTGCTTTGTTTTGTACGGCTATTGGCTACTGCCTTGTACTCCAGATAATGATAACGATGAAAATTTTCTGTGGTCATAAATCAATGATTTTAAGTATATTTAAAGATTTGGAAATAAGAGGCAATAAAAATGGATTAAAACACCGAAAAAATAGAAAATAAAAGAAATAAAAATATTTACTTGGCCATATAATGGTGCATATTCTTCATCATCATTCATCTCAGTAATATTTCTCTCAGTATCAAATTGTTTGACTAAAATCACTCATTCATCTTCCATTTGGTTGTCTTTTCATCATTTCTAAGTGCTTGTATTTTCTTTTCTATGAAAAGCTAAACATAGACGTAAGTTTATGAGGCAAAAGCCACGGACATAAAATTGATATTGATTAGAGAATTCTAAAAGTTCAATATTCTTATTGATAGCTAAGTTTTGTTTTAATTAAAAATGGCATTTTAAACAGTTGAGATGAAACTAACAATTTGATTAAAATTTATGAATACTTATTTACCATGCATGCATTTGTAAATCATAATTACGGATAAGAAGGTAAAAATACTCATAAAGTAATCGATTAAAAGCATTTAGTAGCCTAAAGTAAGAAAAAAATAAAAATATTCATAATGTTATGAAAGTGGGTCAATAAGTGACCAAATTTCCGGTGTTAACTATTGATTGTGCTACTTACTGTGCTTGCCACTTATTAATATTTGTTGACGTGAATTAAAAACGGGGTAAAAAATACTCATGAAATCGTAAGTTAAGAGTATTCAATAAATTAAAGTGAAAAAAGGACAAGAGCACCCATAATATTAATTTAACTGGTGCAATAATGATTAATCTATCAAAATTTATGTCATATGTTTTCTTTCCATCACCACATATCTCACCCCAACTCTCCCTCCACTCAATTTTTTGTCTACAAAACTTAAAATTTAACATAGTGAGATAGATTACAGGCAGTTGAAAATCGAGAACAAAGAGATTGTGGCTCGCTACAAAGAAACAATCACTTTCATAAACAAGATTGTCTCTGTTCAGGACGTCTTTGTGACTAACCTTCTTGTGCCACCTACCTTAAAAACATTAGCATAACCTTAAGCGATTACGTTTTACGATGAAGTTCAAAATCTTCAATTGGCTTCTAGCATTGCTGCAAAGAAGTGAGCGATTTAACTTGCTGTTCAATCAAAATGATATTTTTTCACATGATATTCATAATATGATCGATCAACCTCCGTAGAATTTCACTTGAAATATTTTTTGTCTACATTAGCCAAAAAAATGATCAACTTTTATTTAAATGTTGGCCAAACGGTCAACATTTAAGGAAGTTGATAGATTAATCATTATTGTATTTACTAAAATAACATTATGGGTATTCTTGCCCTTTTTCTTATTTAAGGCTATTGGATGCTTCTAACCGACGATTTCATAGGTATTTTTGTTCATTTTTTAGTCCACGTCATCAAACATTAATAGGTGGCAAGATCAGTCAGCATTTAACACCAGAAACTATTGAACATTAAGCCAAGTTAACGATTTAGTCACTTTTACACCAAGTTTGATAACGTTATGGGTATGTTTGTCATTTTTCTTACTTTAAGCCTACTCTTACTCTTGGCCAATCTCTTGATAGTTATTTTGCCCTTTTTACCCTATGATTAAAAATCATCACCTCAATAAACTATATTAGGGTTTGTTCACGGGACGGGACGGGACCGGGACACCCCTGTCCCGTGTCCCGTCCCGAAAAAAATATCGGGACTGAATTTTGGGTCCCGTGTCCCGTCCCGTCCCGAAAGTCGTCCCGTCCGTTAAGAGTCGGGACGGGATCGGGACAAGATCGGGACGTCCCGCCGTCCCGATAAATGGAATGATGTGAAAAAAAAGATCTGAAGAATAACGTTTTTTAAAATTTTAAATCATATAATTTATTAAGTTTAAAATCAAAATAACGCAAGTACATAAATAACAATAATTTAAATCAATTATTGAATTATATTAATCACAACTACATATTATAATAAAAATACAAGTGATCTTTATGCTATAAGATTAGCACAAACAGGCAAATCAACCACAACATTAAATAATTATTCTTCTACTTTAGTAAAGATTTACTAACCCATTACTCTTCTAAAAATAAGTAAGAAATATGTTATAAAGAAAATTTATTAAATAGATAGATATAAGAATAAATATAATATTAATATAATTAATATATTATAAAGAAAGATATCACCATGTTTACTCCATGCCATTAAAATTATCAATATAAAAAACTTTTAGTTTTAAATAAGAATACAAGTATTAAAATTATAATTGATATAATTTATAAGTATAGATTATGTAATATAATTATATATTTAAATAAAAAATAATTATATAATATTCGGGACGGGACGGGACGTCCCGATGGTAATCCCGTGTCCCGTCCCGTCCCGCACTCCTTTCCTGTCCCGTCCCGTAAAGTCCCGTCCCGATTATTTTCGGGCCGGGACAAGACCCGTCCCGATATGATCGGGACGATACCGGCCAATCGGGACGGGTCCGGAATGAATACCCCTAAACTATATCAACAAGCAATCAAGATTTGATGCCATCATTGAAATATATTAAGTTACCAACTAAGAGTTAGGCCTAATAGAAAAAGCTAGTTCCTTATAATATAGTGAATTAATGTTCAAATCCTATTGAAAGGGATAATCACATTTAATGGCCATATTTTGAATATAATAGCCTTCAATAAAAAAAGTACTTGTGAGTAATAAAAAAATTAAATTAAATAATTAAAAATAAAATGGAACAGAAATGAACAAATTATGATCCATCACTAAGATTTCCGAACAGCCAATAAAAAGGAGCAAGACAGAAATTCATCAACATCAACGTTCTAAATAGCAAGTTCCATGTGCTTATCCAGTCCTTGCTTTTTATGGAAGAAAATAGACTTCTTATGCATTATACAAAGTATGATAGATAAATTGGAAAACTACTTTTTATATAAAAATTCTTCGTATGAAGTAGGAGAAGAGTAATATTACGGAAAATGACAAATACGGACTTTATAAAAAAAACATTAAAATCAAATTAGATATTTTAGTATTGAATATGGGGAAAAGAGTAATGAATTTGGGAACGTTAATATTAAAAAATGGATAAAGGTGCATTTTTGCTCTTAAAGTATTTCTCAATGAGCACCCAACATCTTAACATTTTTATTGAAATAATTTTACCTCTAAAGTTATTAAAACAAAATATTTTTGCTCTTTCCGTCAAATTTTCTAATGTCAACGTTTGAAGTCAACGTTAAAATTTTGACAGAAAGGGCAAAAATGCTCAGTTTTAATAACTTTAAGAGTAAAATTGTCCAACAAAAACATTAAGATATTGGGTGCTCTTTGGAAAATACTTTAAAGATAAAAATGCATCTTAACCTTTGAAAAATCCTAATTTGACATTAATATTCTTAGGGATCCTTACTTGTCATTCTCCCTAGTATTAATCATGATTTATAAATACTATAATTTTTATAGATATTATTATGTATATTGCGTCCATTTTTCCAAAGATTATATGAAGTTTGATGAATAAGAATATAAGACCACTTGCTAAGTGCTGGACCTAGAAAATTAGTTGGTGGGAGCGAAATATGTTCCTAATATATAATATTAATATTTTATAAAAATATAATTTTAATATTTATTAAATTAATGTAAAATTATAATTTTAAAACTTATTTTTATAATCCATTTAATAGAATATAGTATTATTAAGTGTGTGTGTGTGTGTGTGTGTGTGTGTGACTTAAAAAGTAAATGCAGGTATGTGTGTGTGTGTGACTTAAAAGTAAATGCAGGTAATCAGACTTTTGTGTTGGGGGGGGGGGATGCATTTTTGGGAGGGTAAGTTAAATTTTTTACGGGACTATATTCAATTTTTTTAAAAAAATGACATTATCTTGACGTAATATGAAATTTGAAAAACAAGTTACATTGTTCCAACTCATAAATAATATCACTTGCTA